TGGGGTAAATACCCAGTAGTGCAATTGCTGGATCATATGGTAGCTCTATTTTCAACTTTTTGAGGAACCTCCATACTGTTTTCCAGAGTGGCTGGGGGATTTTTTTTTTTCACTCTCCATTCTTACAGAAATAATATATTGAGTAGTCATACCAGGCAGTTCACAATTACAGAGATATCTTTTTTCTGAAATTTTCATTTGCTTATTTATCATTTTCGATCTAACCTACCTCTAAAACTGTCAGAGGTTACATTCCATAGCAAAACTATTGAATAGAATCTTAAAAGAATTGAGCTTAGTGGTAAAATGTAGGGAATGACTAGAAATGGTGCAGATAATTTAGGATAAAGATGACTAATGCAGTTGAGCACAAAATTTAGGATTGAACTTCCTAGAGACCAGTTCAAAAAGAAAAACAGTACGTTAATTCAAATTGACACCTAAGAATATACCAATGGGGTGCCTGGGTGGCTCAGTTGGTTAAGCGACTGCCTTCGGCTCAGGTCATGATCCTGGAGCCCCAGGATCGAGTCCCGCATCGGGCTCCCTGCTCGGCAGGGAGTCTGCTTCTCTCTCTGAACCTCCCTCCTCTCATGCTCTCTATCTCATTCTCTCTCTCAAATAAATAAATTAAAAAAAAATCTTTAAAAAAAAAAAATAAAATAAAATAAAAAAGAATATACCAGTGTATGGGAAAATCCTTTTCAGTGCTGAATGCTTAGATAGGCCTCCTACCAATTTAGATTATAAGGAACACTGAATAACTTAACTGTGGCTGTTTATTCAATAAGCCAGAACTTATTTGTACGTATGTATACATACAAAAAGATGACCAACCCTGAGCACTCAGGGGACCAGACATGATACTTACACCCATTTTGTGACCACAGCATACCAGATGGGAAACCTTGATGTAACTGTCCATAATATCCAAGAGCATAATGGTCTTTGAATGTTTCTTTATAAAGATAAGGTAAGAGATTCCAGGCATGCAGTTTTCTAAAAACAGATTCAGAACTAGAAACTAGAGCAGTCAATAAGAAGCATGTCCTTTAAATGACTGCTTCACTGTCTTATGTCATCCAGGCTTTTGATAGTAGAAAATTCAGGTGTAATGTCACTTAAAACATAAGAATCCAAGGTTGTTGATTGAAAGGAGAGCCCTCTACTTTGTCTTGCATATTTGTAATTGGCAAAGATTTCTTTTTAATGCCAAAACAAGAGACTGAATTATTTTTCTCAAATGCCCATCTGTACAGAATTGGGTTTTAAAAAAAACTTAAAGTTGGATCACATGTGTTTTCAGATAATGTCTTTGGATCAGCTCAGACCTTTTAAGAAGTATTTAGATATTTTATTGAAGCGTTAGGGTTTGGCGCTACCAAATGTGGACAGGTTGAATGATTAAGAGGTCCTGAGGTCACTGATTCACCAGTCACCTGCCTGTACCATGAAAATAACCCCAATAAGACTCCCATAAAGTCACTTACTGAGTAATATGGTAACCCAGCAATCCCAGTTGGGTGATAAGATGCTGAGTTAACAGAATCAGCCAGCATACTTGAGGTTATTGACCAACTAGCTCTTGAAAAAGGTGTGGGAAAGCTGTGATTTGGGATTTGCTGTATTAAGATTAGGCTGTTATTTTTGATAGCCCCGGCTCCCATGTTTTATTGTTTATTGCACATGTATGAATTAAAATAGTGCTTACCTTTCTGTGTACTGAGGCAAGATGGCTTTCATCAGCATGCTTTTAAAGTTGTATCACGGTGTGGGAGACAGGTTTGACAGTTTCGCATGAGACCAGTTCTGTTGTCAGTCATGTAAGGTGGGAGGCTGCCGCCAGCCCTCTTGGGGACTTCTCAGGAGAAGAGCCGTCTCTGACGGAGCATTTGAACTTCTAGTGGTGACACCTTCTAGTACCTGTGTATGGATTGAGAAAGTAATGATCGAGCAATGTATAATTAAAAACACTTATGCTATATGTAGCCAGTAACAATTTATATTGCTGGTTAGTGTCTAAAAATATGAAAAGTAACTTTGTAATGCATCATGAAATGAAAAACAGACTACTAAACAGTAGATATGATATGATCTCTACTATATTTTTTAAGACAATAAGTGTATGTGTGGAGAGGAAAAGTCAAGAAGGATAAACATCAGGGCGCCTGGGTGGCTCAGTTGGTTAAGCAACTGCCTTCGGCTCAGGTCATGATCCTGGAGTCC